AATGATTAATCAAGTTAAAAACTGTAACTTAATTAATCCTTATTATTATTATTATTATTATTATTATTATTATTATTATTATTCTAATTTGTAATAATAAGTCAAACCTGGAGAAGGTGAATGGTAGACAATTTTTTGCACTTCAGAATTAGTTAACTTCTCTGGTACAACCGTATGACAAATGGCCATCAAAGTCAAGAATTCACGTATAGCTTCTGCGTTATTCTGTCATTATAATTCATATTTATTAGATTTAAAAAACATTTTGCGAAGATTTTAATTCTGAAATTGATTAGAAATGACAAAAAACATAGAAAACTATATTCCTTAGAAACCAAACATCATTAAAATTAAAGTTGCTGTAATTAAAAGTAAAAAACAATAACTTTTGACCTCAAATTATTTTATTTCAATTCTAAGAAAGTGAAATTCAGATCTCAAATACGTAGATTTTAGATACAGTTTGCTTACAGTATTGTTTGCTAAATCGTGAAGAATTCTTTTATCATCGAACTTTTCTTTTTCTTCTGTACCATACTTGACCCCGCCAACAGAACACATTTTGAAGCACATTTTATTTTTCGTTAACGTACCAGTTTTATCACTGATTATATAACGAACCTAAACTTCGCAAAAAATACTAAAAATCCAAAATTCTGTCAATAATTCAAGATTGTTTCAACAACTCACAAATATTACTAACTAATATTTATAAATTGCAGTCGATCTTTTATAATTTTCCATTTTATAAAATACAAAAGTAAATAATACCTGCCCAAGTTGAGAATTTAAATTTGAACTTCGCACTTCAGCTGTTGTATCTGAATCCTCATCGTAAAGATGCAAATCCTTGAAAGAAATTGTTGTAATATTTATTCATTTTTTCTGTCGAAAATTTATTACCTCTTCAAGTTAATAACTGTTTAAACGAACTTGCTCAATAAAGTATGCCTGGCATAACTGTACCATTTCTAAGGTTACATTCAAGCTGATTGGTATCAAACCAGAGTAGAATATGATTAAGCCGGTTACACTTGGAATCATGTGTAAACGACGAAAATTTCCTGCAAATGACTGAATCCGCTACTGTCATCTTCAATTACTGACTGTGTTGTCACTTATAAATTAAATTTCAAACATGAAAATAGTAATTAAAAGTATTGAGGAGAATGCATCAAAATCATGAATTATTTTCATTGCATTAAAGTCTAACAGTAAGTCATTTGAGTAGCAGCAAGTTTATGCTAATTATTTCAAAAGCTTATTTATTTAAAAAAATTAATAAATATTAAAATTATGCAATTCAGATGAATGGTTAAGATATGTGTGAACAATCAGCACAGACCAAACTACACTAACAAATGCAAGTTAACTTTTAAACTCATCGCTATAACTTACAATTTATTCAAAATAATTATAATTTGTAGATCTACTTGATAGTACCAATAGTCATAAGTGTAAAAATTTTAAATTGTAAAAAGTTATTGTGCTATTTATTTTATGAGATAAATTTTACAAAATAAGTTATACAAGAAGTACCATGGAAGTATGGCATGTAATGGTAGATTCTGCTGATACTACTGCAACCCAAACAAGCATTGAATACAGCCATAAAAACCAAATAACCGAACTGAATCATCATCAAACTATTTGTTATTCGCTGTACAAGCGAGCTTCAATAATTATTATCATCAGATATCATTTTTGTTTGCACATTTTTATTGGTTGTAAATATATGCATTTACTTATTTAATCAAAAATCATTACAGAGAGAGTTCAGTGATAACATGTCTTAACAGTGATACACGTTGATACAAAGTTGTAAGTAAGTTTGAACCAGTTGAAGCCAATTCGAAATATATTAGCTGTGAAAACAAAATTCTTAAAAATTTTGGAAAATTTCGTATTAATATTTTTTGTAATAATTTGGTTAAAAGTAATTTCATATTGCATAAATTAATGAAATTACACTTTTACGCGAGTTCTCGATGTATTAAGGGCAAGTTTTGTGTGTTTACCGGCATATACAACAACACCGTACACCCAATCAGTGTTCTGTAATCTACATCCACGAGGTAGTAATTGATTCGCGCCTGTTATTAATATTCATAGCTTCAAATGTCATTTCCAATTAATTCTTCATGTTAAGGTGACAGTTGCTTAACTAATGGTTAATTGAATAATAAGTTTTTGTAAGTATGTAATAAGAAAACCGATTAAATCCGATGCAATTTATGATTGTCAAAATTAAGCATTTACAAAAATTGATCTGTAATTGAACGAATTTAAATGCTTTGATCAGATTTAATGTTTATATGAAATAAAAATATTTAATAATTTCAGCTAAAATTCAATTCAATTTTTGTCATTTGTCATTAGTTTACCGAATTTTGTCACGGTAGAAGTGAAAAAATTAGTTGAGCAATTTCAGTGTGTCATTTTCTAGCTCAAATTATTAAATATTGTCATTAAATTAATTATCTCTTGACAATTGTGAGTCATCGTGAAGAGACATTTAGTTGATAAGAGATGGTTGAAAGTTAGAAAATGCTGGGAGTCAAAGGATATCTGATATTTTATCAACACACAGAAATCGAAAATTTTCTCTGCGCAGTGACTTTTATGGGAAAGAACAATCTGACATGAACTTTCCTCACAAGCTGGTTGGTTAGCAGAAAGGAATCAGTACAACAGCTTTGTTATCATAATCTATTAATTAATCAGTTAATCTATCAATATGTCAATTAGATAATTAATAAGTCAGTTGGTGGTTGATATGTAAAAAGTTAACATTCAAGTATTTTTGTACCAAGTAATATTAAGCTGAAGTGACTGCTTCAATTAACTATAAAACTTTCCATTACAGAAATGATAAAACTGATCAATGACATAACATCTAAAATGTGTCCAAAAGTTTACAAAAATGCAGTTAATACTTTGAAAATTTATTTCATTAATAAATAAAAATTAATTTAATAATTAAATATTGAAAAAACAGACCAAGTGAATATTCCGTTTTTTGAGTGTCTTTAAATTTGTTTTTGTTTAATAATAGAAACATTGTACTGACTTTAATGACACCACGAAAATGGTACAATGCTGAACTTGGCGGATCACAATTCAGTTTTGACTGGCATGAGCACATTGCCTGCATTTCACTTATATATTATTTATTTGCAAAAAGTTATCAGATAAGGTCATAGATATTAAAGGTTAATATATTGTGGATAAGCTACTGTTCATTTAATCAGTTCCTTTATTAGATAATAAATTATTAAAAATTAAACAGTAGTTAAGGGTAATGACAATATGTTCAGAGCTTTGTAATAAATAAACAAAATTGATATTTACCTAATGACTTTACAAGTTTTATTCTATTTTGTGGAATAAAAATGTAAGTTCACACTTTATATAATTTAGTTTTAGGATAGAATATTTCAGATGAAAATTGTAAAATAAAATAAATATCATAATATTCCTACATTTAATGAAATAACATTAATACTTATTACAATTTACTTGAAACAAATTAAATTGAACAAGTTTACCAAAGCAGTGTCGTCGTCTATTATCCAAGCCGTTGAATGCAACGATTGACGGATTTTCAAATTAGTTTCGCCGTCTAAATTGCTCGTTTCAATGTAAGCTACACCAGCAGGTTCGCTAGAGGAAAGAAGCACAATATCCGCTGGAATTGCTTCATTTTTCAGCACTTTAACCACTTGGCCAACTTTCAGCTAGAATATACTTACCACAAATAATCGTGATATATCGGCCATAAATATGAATCAAACAATGTTTTAATCAAAGTTGCTTATACTTTTTTGCATAATTACTAAAAAACTATATGGGAAGAGTAGTTCATTCGATGTGAATCTCACCTCAGCCCAATGAATTCTTTCCCACTTCCAACTTGAAGATTTTTCATCTTGCAAACAAGTTAACACAAGTCTTCGATTCACACGGCGATCGGCGACCAATCGTCCCTTAACATATCTTCCATTACCTTTACTTTTCAATATCATCCAGTAATATAATGTAATTATTACTTATTATCAGTTACTTTAGTTAAATCAAATTCTTAGATTATATACTCAAAGTAAATTAAGAACTTTACAAAATCTTCAAATATTTCTTTTGCTGCAGCTACAAGTATAATAGTAACAAGTGGAATGATAACAGTATTCGTACCATATGGATTTATTCCAGGAAGATACTAAAAACATAGCATAACAGTAATGATTCAATTTAATCCTAGAAAAGTTATTAAATCGTGCCAAGTTAACTTCAAGTAATAATGGAAGACAAAGTTTATCTGTTAGTAAAAAGTAAATTTTGCATCTTCAAATTATTAATCTTCAAATTAATCAATAAATTATTCCAAAAATGAATTTTAGCTATCTGAGAAATCTCTCAGGAAAGTAAAAGCCTCTATATCAATGTTATTACTAAATAATTAAACTAACTAATAAATGAGCAATCGATGCATAATAATGCAAAAAGTATTGCAGTCAAGTTTGTCAGTCAATAGCTATAAGTGATAAAAAGTAAAGTGCAATTTAGGTAATTACTAGAAAACAACTTCTTGTAGAAATAAATATACAATAGGCCTCAGTTTGTGTAGACAAAATAGCATCTAAGACGAATGCGAATGCAACTGACTTGTGCTATGCAAATGAGCAGAAAGAATAAATTGCCAAAAGTTTTGAACTGTTGGAAGAGAAATAACGGAAGAAATGTAATCAAATTATATTTTGTTGTTGAGATGTAATTTGATGTTTTGCCATCTGCTTGACCGATTGTGATGTGAGGTGGCTGCAGCGCTTGTCTTCCACGCTTATGCATCCTATCGGAAATCTGAGTATCACAAATATTTGTTGAACAAGAGAATAGACTATCAACAAGTGACATAATTCAGCTATAAATTCTTCATATATACACACTAAACCACTGAAGAGAGTACAAAAATACTGCAATGTGTCAGTCAAATAACTCAAAAAATATAAATTGCAATGATGATCAACAGTTTTTAGCTAATATCTCGAAGTGAACTCTCTTGAAAATCAATTACAAATTTATCTTTCAACTAAACAATTTTCATTTTTGATTGACTAATTTAGAATTAAAAAAATGGTTAGGATATAAAAAATAGTCTAAGACTACATTGCAAACTTATTAAAAATTATCTTCTTTTTAGATGCGAAATTTTCGATTCAAAGTTTGAAATGGCACAGTGCAGAGAAGATTCCGCTCAACGCCACGACAACTTTACAATGGAATCAGACTTACGAGATTTCTGTTCAATAAAAATAACACGCAAAACTGAACGTTTGGATGAAATTTTACTAAATTTTGGCAACAAATTTTTTGTAAAATTTTTGCATAAATGATAATATCAATAATTGATGTGATAAGACTTACTGATTAACTTACTGATTGGCTAATCAGATTATTTTAATTTTAACCAAACTTTCATAAGCAAGCAAACCAATCAGCTCGTTTATTAATCCATCAAGTACCCGAGTGTATTTATGAGTGAGTTAAAGTACTAAAAAGCAAACTTCTGTTCAAAATTAAAAGACTTCACTTTGCATCTAACAATAATGCTTGCTGACCTTTATTACTTTCCAATAATTATTCTATTCCACGTGCATTTATTTATTATACTTTTCTTTCGTACTGTATTTAAAATTACACATTTTTACAATTTTTCGCTTTCCAATTTAGTTTTTTTCCAAAGATATTTCTTGTTGGATTCATTTCCATTTCATACGAAATCTTTGTTTTCACACTTTTCCAGCAATGTTTTTTCTGCCATTTCCTTTTCACTTCGTATTCATTGCAAGCATGTCATTTAATTCTTTTCATTAGTTTTGTCTTAAATTTTTGCTGAACAACGTAAATACTTTAAATGACTTCAATCAACACTTACGTGATTTCTTTTTTGTTAGCGTGGCAAAAGGAGTATGACTTCTTGCACACTTCCCCATGATATTCTCATGATATAAGCACATTAGTATCCGTGCTGTCATATCCTGAATGCAAATATGCCGCTCATTACCAAAATTACGTGCGCTACATGTCATGTGCTCAAAATAATTCAAATTTCATTTTGAAATAGTGCTGCAACAGCAACACAATTATTTTCCCTTTTCGATGAGTCATAAAAGTTGACTCACCAACAAAGGAATAGTTGCTGGCTGAAGGAGTTTGGTCATGATCGCACCACCTTGGTTTATATTCACGAAACTTCTACTGCAGGATGAAGGATTCACGTATGTTAGGTCATTCTTGTCATGCAACGTAATGCACGTGAATGCAAGCAGCTTCATTAGCTTTTAAAAAAGCGTCCGTTTTGCGGATTTGCAGTGTATATGATTGAAACTATGGATGACAGTGTTATTTTGATAGAGGAGAAGGAAAATACGGGTTATGCTGAGAATGCGAACTTACTGAAATACGGTTGGTTCTATTTAGTGAGTTATTTAGTTTTATTTACTTCATTTTTTTCACTGAGTTTTGAATCTATCAGAAAGAGCATTGCATTTTGTTCCTGAGGCTTCATTCTTTGTTAAGCAGAATGAGTGTGAAGGAATAGTTTTTTTGTCAATGATAATGAATACATTTGAAAAACGTCTTAGATATTGCAGTAAAGTTGCATATTTATCTATATAACAATGAATTAGTTTTATAAGCGATTTGTCAAGTTTTTCTTCCTCTGAAGATGGCACTTCGAAAATTCTAGTTGATGCGATAAATTTTTTTCAGTCAAAAAAGACTTCGGTAGCGCAGAATATTCGCATTCATCTTATTCGCACGAAGAAGTTGCAAATTCTTGTAAAGAGCAGCACCGGAATGATGTTTCTGAAAAGTGTAGTAACGAAAATTCCTCCGAAAAATCAAATCGTCAGTCGTTTTCGCAATCTTTGAAATCGACTTCTTCAGCTGCAAAAGTTTCGAATCCGCAATATAAACCAGCAGAATTTAGCACATTGCCTGATCAGGTGAATGAATCCTTAAAATCCCCAACGCATGCACTTGTTAATGGTGAACTCACCAAGAAGAAGCGGAAAAAAAGAACAAAGGAGGATATTATAGCTGAAAGGGTATGTTTTTCATAATTATTTGTCCATACATTTATTGTCCTGAGAGACATTCATATTCCTTAGAGACCATATTTCTGTCATAAATTGCTGATTTAATTTTCTCTTTTTGTGCATAGTGTTGCTGCAAACAAAATGATGATCTTCTTTTGGAATTGGAATTCGATTCTCCATTTGTATTTATTATCTGAATTATATCGATATTATACAGTAATTACTTATAAATGTACTGTGTGTAGTAGTTTGCACAAAATGTTTGAACTTTCATGTTCTTTGGTGCACACTGATTTTAATTCCACTTTGATTTGCTGTAAAGTAGGTGCAATTTAGGCTGCAAAGCAACTGGTTAAAGAACAGAAAATTCAAAAACAGATGGAAAAAAAGGTAATCAAGGTTGCATGCAAATCTGATTTTTTTTAATTTTTTTTGTCAGTGATAATGGATAAATTTGAAGAAAGTTAAATACCTACAGCAGAGTTGCATGTTTATCTGTATAGTATTTAGTTCGTTCTGTTAATGATTTACCAAATCAATGGTTAATACATATTGAGCTGCAGAAACAAATGGAACTTGAAAGAAATCTAGCTAGATTTGAGAGGGAAGTCTCGGCAGCTAAAAAATCAAAGTGCGAACAAAATCTGTTTTGCCTTGTCAGTCTTGATTTACTTACCGAAATAGGTATTATTATTTCGATGACAAATTGTGTTTCATCTGATGTTAAATTTGACCACATTATTCTGATATGTTGGGTGATTACTGTATCCATAAAGTTTGCACGAATGATCAATCATTTTCATGAGACGATCACTAATTCTTTATTTTTCAGAAAATCTTTGTGAATGTATTACGAGAGTATTCGAGCAGCGTGCAATATCAGATCAATTGATTTTTGATGGAAGTGGTAGTAGAATTTGTTGGAAGAGAAACATTTTGCAAGGAGATATTGAAAATGGCGAATTTGTCCGTTCTGATAAATTAGTCAGTTCATGCTTTATGTTAACCATATTTTGGAATATGGGTCCTTACTTTGCTTTTTATTAAATTATAGTTAAATCACTATAATTTCATCCTACATTACTGCATAAAACTTATAATTACTTGATAGTAAAATATGTGGAGTTAAATAGACTCAAAAATTTTGGTTGAGCTTGTTTTTCACCTTATATTTTCTCTGGAAAATATTAAAATTCTACTTGAAAATATCATTTAACTTTAGTATCTTTTTCATCTTAATTTCAGATGTACGAGCAGTTCTGTATTCTATCATTTAGCGCGATGCGTTATTCGCAGTTTAAATCGTCAGAAGAAATCGCAAACTTTATTGAAGAGTATATGATTACTTACCCATTCCCTTCACCTTTACTAACCGTTGTCGTGTATGGTACATTGAAAATGCGCAAGGAAAAAGTACGTATGACTAAACGGATTAAGTCACGTGTTTTGTTTTGAAGGTGCAGAGCAAATGTAACTGCGTACAAAACGCTGCATAATAAGTAATAAGTGTCCCATGTGCTCCAGTTTTCTTCATATTATAGAGTCTTTTTTTAGATAGCATCTTTTGTACTGGAAATATTTGAACGCTACAAAGCGCAAACTCGTTTCGTTTCGAATGCCGAAGAATATGCAATGCTCGTTGCTCAAATGCATCGGTCAATTGCACGAAGTCAAATGCATTCTGATCAGCAAGACCAAATAGATCGTAATCAGCAAAATCAACCCATTGTGGATATTAAGAAAGGTGTAACAGAAGTGTGTTTTTAATTATCTTCCGTACTTTCAGGGATAATTTCTCATCTTTTTTCATCAAATTTCGTTTTCTAAGAAAATTTGGTAAAAGCTTGATGTCTGTACTAGGACAACGGAATCATTCCTTCTCTTCATTTAATGCTTATGTAACGACAAATGCTGTTACCAAAGCTGAACTTAACGAAACATGGATTTGTCTTCTTAACATAAATTATTATTTTAGGGCTCTAAATCTTTCCTTGTTTCGGACTGGTGGATGAAAATGCTCAGTCAAATACATCGAATGGGAACTGATGCACAACGAACGATTGTAACTAGCTATCCAAATCCACATATCCTTTCAGAAATGCATGATTTATTTTATGTATACCACAATAAATCAATATCCCATTTGAGTTTGAGAAATTCTTCAGCAAATGTATTTTATAAAAGATAAGACTTTCATTTCTGTCATATTTTTTTTTCTCAGTTAATTAATGTAAAACCAAAATTTGCAGATTAAAATCAATGACAATGGAGAATGGTATACAATTGATAGCTCAGAAAGAAATTGAACATGGAAGAAAGATCGGACCAGCATTAGCGCGTAAAATTTATTTAATGCTCACAAGCACAAGTGGTACTGAGATTATTGATGAAGACTAAAATGTAAAGTTTTGTTCTACAAAAATGATATATATGTTTCTACAAATGTGAAGCATTGCAAACATTAATACAGTTGGTTCACATAATTGTCTACTTGACGAGACGAATGATATGACTTCAATAACAGGCACAACGAAATAAAAATTCATAAATAGATTTAAATCAAAAACTGAAATATCAGAGAAATGCATGTGCTTTCAGCTTTCCTAATGCAGCAAAATGCATATGCAGAAGATCTTAATGTATTATAATATTTTATAATATTATAGGTTAGTATGGTTATAATACATTACATGGTTTTAAAATACGAAGCTGCTATTTAGACAGTGCAAAAATCCATGTCATAGTTTACTTCCACACAAAAACGAGCTTAAAATTACAAGTTGATAGGAAGTAACAAAGGATTTCTTTAGATATAAAGCACTCATGAGACAAATTTGAATACTTGGTAAAAGAATACCAAAAACATATAAGTGCGTGCGTTCAAAAGATAGATGTCATTCAACAACTCAGCTCCAGCAAATGTAAAAACGAGTGATACCAGAAGCCTGATTCTCTATAATTACAAGGTACTATGTGGTGCAAACCGATCAAGAGGATAGTTTCAGTTTACAAAGCATACGGTTTCCTGAAGGCCTCGGCTCTTTCCCTTTTCCCAAACGTCCTTCCGGAGATGAGTATTCCGAACTAGTTACGATTCCACTGGCATCGGTACTCAGGTTTTGCAAATAATCGAATTCAGCCAATGCACACTGCTCTTTCCGGCCGAAGCGACGAAATGTTGCCTGTCGTACACCTCGCCGCGGAGGTATGAAACGTACATTATCACCACGACGTCTCAATTGTTTTTCTAGTAATTCAATGGTAGCAGTGTCCTCATCTGAAGAGAAGCTGGTGCCATCCTAAAGGATCATTTTAAATGATAATTAGGTGAAGTATTGAGCTGGATTTAAAGTATTCATGTCGTAACGTGACTAACCAAACTTTCCGATAATAATTCTCCGCGAGTAGGTAAATGTGTTAGTTGCAATAAACATTCCTGTGAACTGTTTTCTGTTTCAGCGGTCACAATCATTGATGGTAATTCACTATCAGAATATGAACGTTTTAGTGGACTACGTGGTGACCTACTCAATTTGTCATTCACGATTCTTTGTTCCTCGAACATGTTAACATCCTAAAAATAAATATGTGAAAGTTTATTTCCTATCAGTTCGATTAGTTATCATTAGCTGACAAGAGATTCCACGAAAAGAGCAACATGTTTCGTTTTGATTAGAAAAAAATTTAGATCCATATCAACTGGATGCTTGATTAAATACATATTCTTCAACTGTTGATTTTAAACTGACTTTCATGAGAGGTGAAGTTCGTGGAGATGGTGCAACATTGGGTGTCTCACATCTTCTGATGCGAAAACTTTTTACTTCATCTGGTGCATCACTAATATTTGATAAAAATGAATCTTCATAAAGATTAGCATCGGAATGAGTGAGTGCACAAAGTGCTTCACCAGCTCCAATAATCGTAGAACCACAAGATGGACAACAAACAGTACCCATACGCTCAGCCTCACGATACTGACTATTTTTTAGTTGATTCTGTAAGCCAATCTGAAAAAAATCTGGTGCTTGTAATTAGTTCAAGTTTCACAATTTTTTGAGAATAAAAATTTAGAGAACGCTACATATCGAATGCAGCAAAATGATCCTTTTAAGATCATTCTGCATCTATAATATGATGTCATCAGAAGTACTTTATACACGGCTTAACTTCAAAAAATCTATCCTTATATAAATATTTTAATGAAATAATGTAAAAATTTTCACGATAATCATATCCGATTCGTGCAACTGCTTCCTCAGATTTAAATTCTTTCGCCTTTCGTGATCAATTCCTCGCTGCATGTGCATGACAGCACGACTAGCCTTTTCTAAATAACGTCTCATGTGATCCTTTTCTTTCTGTAAATATTACTTAGCGAACTGATAAATTATTTCTTTCGATCATAAATTCTGAATTAGTGAAATCTGAAAACAGCCTGAGCACATGAATATTTTTGTTTGATGTATTAATGGAATATTAACAAAAGCTTGATTTGGCAAGTGTCAAATTAAGAACTAAAGAAACAATATCATGACAAAAAGTTATTTACGATACCTGTGCAGTGATTATTTGTCCTTTAAAATATTGCCGTTCCTCCTTTATGCGTTTTTTCAATTTTCGTATCTCACATTCATACTTTTTGATCTTAAAAAATTTGGCTAGAATAATATTTCCGATTATCAATCATATCAAATCTGGAAAATTTTACTCTCAACAGTGCAAAAAACATTCCACTTCATTAGTTGTTTTGAAACGAAGAATAAATAAGAACATTTTTCGAAATTTCAGCAAGTAGACTGGTAATTCTCAGTAAGACAAAAAAACATCCCACATATCATATTTTATTATAATTAAACCTTATTTTCAAAAAAAAAAAAACCTCAATTTCGTGTTCATTATTAACGTCAGATTCCATGAATGGTGTGGAAACGTTCAGTGAATTTTCCACTGGACTGGGATCAGCACTACCATATTCAGATGTTTTGATTTCTGCATCAAAACTTCTGGCATCAGCCGTTATTCCAATGCTTCTAAAATAATCATAACACAAATGATTAAATTTGAAAATATTTTAGTAAAAATATCAATCAACGAATTTCTCCATAAAACTGCAAAATACATTTACTATAATTAACCATATATTATTAGTTTATCAATTAATAATAAAGGAATTTACTAGACTTAATGCAAAAGTAGGTAGGAAGACAAAACAAAGAGGTAATAAAACAAACTTGTTTTCCACTGAGTCATATTTTTTATATATATTACAAGATGTTTTTAAAGGTGCAGCAGATACTCCTCCAGGACATGACCTTGTTTGTTTTCCCTTCTTCGGTGCAGTAATAACAGAATATGGAGCTGAAGGCCGAGTCCATGACGCTCCGCTTATGTAAATAGCTTCTTTATCAGATCGCCACGACGGAATCGGTGAACAGCAACGCAAAGAATGACGTGAACAGTCTTTACGATTCTAAAAGAGGAGAAAAACAAAATAGTTGCTATTTAGAACAAAAAAAATTGAATGGAAGAATTAAAGATACCAAATAAAGTAACAATTGCTATGTGAAAAAAAAATTATAAATATACTGTTCTCTATTCTGAAAAGCGAATAAAACAAGAAAATTTCTTCAAGTACAACAGTTCAGATCTCTTGGTATCGAGTTGCTAGAAATTATGTTGGTGGGATATTAACTTTTACGCAAACAAATAAATAAATTATATCAAAAAAGACAAGCAGGAAAAATGAAAATGATAAATATAAATAAGTAAAAATAGCCATACAAAGCAATGTTCACATTTGTCAGTTATGTTGAAAAACATGTATGCACTTAATATTCTTGAGTGACTAAAAGCTTTCACTGCTTTACGTTGATAATGCAAAAAATTGTGAAGTATAACTCACAAGGTTCGAAGTTTCATCCCCATAATCCTTATGCTTTTTGAAACGAAATATTTTAATTAATGACGGTGCCATTTCCTTCAATATACTTCAGCGAATAAACTATTCAAAAGTGATCTGAAACTAATTAGTTTAAAATAATGTCGAGATTGAATACTATAATGAACATAAACTATACATTGTCAATACAATTCAACATGTGTTTGTTTTGACACTTTTGAATGATTTTTACGAAAAAAGTTTTGAAAATAAAGTAAATTTTTTTGATGCGAAACATCCACAACACAAATTCAGCGTGATTTTATCAGATGGTATCAGTCGATGTCATATAATTTAAATTGTATTCACAGTATAATACTTGAAAATTTACCATGCACTTTTGACTCTAATACACGCAGTACATATTCTCACAGCACAAAATCGCAACAAAAGAATAGATAAAATTTCCGCAAATGATATTTGATAATGTGCTATTCCAGAATCTATTTTTATCACAGCATTCCTTTTAATGAGTACAATTTTTGAGATGCACGCAATCAGATGCAAAATATCGGCCGAATTTTGAATTACTGGGATTAATATAGTATCAGTGCCAATGCCAACCTCAAATTAGACTTAAAATTTGACGACTGAAAAATTTTTGATAGTAATAAAATTGCCAGTATTGTCCTTCTTACAATATGTCGCAGACAAAATAATTTAGCGTTACAACAGATGAAGCTAATGGCGGAAATATAAAACAACTGAAAAAGTGAAAACTTTTTGGTTGTTTTATGTCGCTTCCATTAGGGGGTTTCAGAAGCATAGTGACTTCTCTTCAATTACTGAAACGAATAATGAAATGGAAAACTTGCTGTTGTTGCATGTAATAAATTTGAAAACTTGAAAAAACTGGTTCGAGAACAATTTGCTAAAGTTAACCAAAATCACTTTATCTCTGCGAGTTCAAGAAAATAATTTTTAATTAACAAATAATGAATGTTATTTTGAGATATGCGAAATGTATAATGAAGAAAGATGGTAGTAAACTTTAAAATAGTAAAATCATGCTAAAGTTTCCTTTCCAAAAAAAATTGAGAAGTTTTGAATTATTTTATTGATTTGATAAAGTTTGTTGATTTACTAATTTAGCATCATAACATGAAATTTTGAATAAAATTTTGTGATATACAACAATTTGTAAGCTTAACTGAACTTTAAAGTAATGAATTTCATAGCAAAAGTAATTTTGCACTATTTTCTTCAGTCTCTTTTCATTACAGATTGCTTTCGAATTTGTGAACATTTTGTTTCATTTTCAAATCATTGCGATACTGCTCTGTTTTTTGAATTTCTTTACATTTGCAATTAGCGCGATTTGCGATTTTCCATCAAAATTACTTTCATTGCGACAAATAACTTTTCTCAGTTTTTTCTGTTTCGTAAAATTTGTTTCTTCCGTTCTATTCGCTAAGTCATTCGTTTTCGAAGAACAATCAGTCCACTGACACAGAAGTTGAAGCATTTAATCGCATTTTGGTTTCGCTAATTGAAAAAATTAAACAGAAAAAGACACAGACGAGAAAATATATTTGCATACAGAAAAAATGAAGCCTTGCTTACACTTTGCGTAACAAAAATTGCAAATCAAAAACGCATATTAAAAAGATGAGTTCAAATTGACTCGTATCTCATATAGTAGGGATTATGAGCACGAACGCACAAAAAGTGTAAGCTAAGGTATAACCTTTGCAAGTAAAAAGTAAGAAGAAAGAAACGTAGGAAATGTTAGTTTTATATCTGCATGGCCTTCAAAGTATGAAATTGCAAACGAATTGGAGCAAAATGAAGATTCTGAAAACTTTGAAATTTCATTTTCTTCATAAACATTTATTATTTTTAAATATCTGAACTCAATTTAATTTAATCGAATATATAATATGTGAATTCAAAAGATTCTTCTGGAAAATCGCAAATAAATTATTTGAAACAAATTAGCAAAATTTGTAATACTAAAGAAGCTTTTACGATAAGAGTTATACTAATTTGTTTCAAATTCCATACTTTTGGATCATTAAGAGTGCAGACAGAATATGTAAAATCACCACATGTTTTCATGAATTTTTTTTTTCTAATTCCAAGATTGTATTGTAGAAATTATCACTGCTTGTGAAACGTTTGCTGACCATCTGATTTTGTATTACAGTCAAACAGCTTTCCAGTTAAGGTCTCGAGAGGTAGAGAAGAGTTAATAGCAAAGGTTTTATCTAAATTTTGAGCCTAAATTTCATATATTCTTTCCATTAACTTATTTAATTTTATCAGAACTCATTTTGCATTCAATCATTCAAAAACCACAAAAGTAATTTTCCTATCTTTTTGCTACTAAAAAGGCTCGAAAATAAGTTTTTAATTAGATGAGATATCGAAAATAAGTTCATAATTAGATGTATTCAACAGAGAGATATTCCCTTAGATTAAGCCAACATTTATTATCTAAATTTTCGGTCATTTCTAATATTAATCTGAAAAATATTATAGCTTTTTTGGCAAAACAAACAAATTCTCTAGAAGTCAAAATACTGAATTTATTACTGTGAGTATACTTCAAAAGTTCTGAGGTATGCAAAAAATGAACATCTGATAGTACTGATAGTTATGAATGATACGAACTATCGTTACCGGATAGTATGATAATCGTAAATGAATACTGCTATTATTATTTAAAATCCAACATCTTATATAACATTCCCGAACAAATAATTATTTGATAGATAGAGAATTGATTTGTAAATAGTATAAATTTTAATTGAGAAAATTTTAGCGCGAAATTGTCTCAACTTTTTGCTACGCCATTTTAAATTGGATAATACAAAAATTTAATTTGCAGTAAGAAGTTGCATTTGAATGCAGTTAGTTTGAAATGCACTTACCACAGGAGATAACAACACAAAACAACTTTTCCTTCTATTTTTAAAGTGTCTGTAATAAAAAAAGACTTCTGAATAATTTGCATTTAACAAAGATCAGAAATCAACTTGTATTACTCACATTGTAAACGTAAACGTAAACGTAAACGATCTTTTCCACTAATCATGAGAGCAACAAATTTGAAAGAGCACAAAGTGTTCTGCGAGAAAACAACACGTAAAATTCTGTCAGAATCTCAAACTTTAAAAAATTGCCATAGTTTTCTGAATAAGCTATCGAGCATTACATCGGACAGAAATTACTTTTCTCATTTCACTGAGATGTATTATCAGAAGGTGCAGGGAAAGTCAGAAACACAGTCTTGTGTTGTTTACATTTTGTAAACATTCGATTATGACTAAATTCTATTTATTCCTCAAACAAGAAAAATTTTTGATATTTAAGGCAAACTTATTGATTCATAGATATTTCGAAAAATTATTCGGTCAAAGGTCATAAGAGGTCATCTTGAAATATGTGAGTGATTTTCAGGAAGCGCAACAAGGAAAAAATAGCTATATTCATTCTGAATTTTTTATCAATAATTTTTGAAAAAATTGCACTTCCTCTGAACGATAATGGAAGAAGTACTAAGAAGTATAGCTTGGCAAATTGAGCTTGAGAAGAGTTCTTGAAGCTTCAACTGGACTAGGCTCATGTGAGCATAGTTTCCAACCTTAGCTTTATTCCATATTTAAGGTCGAAAGCCTCACTCGACCTCTTTCTACCCTCAGTCTTATAGAACTAGCAACCAAAACACACTTCAAGTCCTACTGCTTCTTAGCTTTTCTGCAATTTCCAACCAATCAAATATGCGCTATTTTAGGCCCAGACTTGAGCTCATCTCGTCTTCCCAGACTTTTAGACTACTATTCTAAGCCGAAACTCACTTCTCGCTTGGCTCTTTTTGTATTTTTCGATGGATACGATATAACCAGGCTGGCTTTCAGGCTAAACACTTGGCTCATTTCCATCTCCTCACTCACTTCCACTGCAATTGCTAGTCAGGTACAATCGATCTGCGATGTGCCGAGAACTGAAATAATCTTTGGCTTACACTTTGCTTTTCTCATTGCACACAGAGAGGAGGGAAGAGAGAGACAAGAAGACATTAGGAGAAATGAAAAGCTTAGTACAGGAGGAAGAGGTTAGATCGATCTATTGCCTTGGTCTCGATCTCATTTCACTCATTTACACTCTGTTTCTCCATTTCACGCTAATTATTTATTCTCATGCTTATTCATCTCAAGCTAATTACTTCCAGCATTTTTGTCTATGTAAACATTTCTGTCTTCTGCATGAGGCGAATGCTAACGTTACTTGCTGAGAAGTCTATGCTTACTGGACGCTTGCTTACCTTAGAAATGCTTTAGAAAACTTGAAAAATTACTTCAAAATGCCAGAAATATCTTTGGAGCGAGGAAATTCGATTAGGAACGTTGAGAAGTAACCATTGCTAAATAGCTATAGGCACGCTGAAAACGTGGAAACTATCTTACATTACTTGTTTGCGTCATCTAAAATGCTAGAAACGCTTGCGGAAGTGTTAAAAATATTTTTAGGAAAGTAGAAATGCAAATATGAACCTTTTTTTCTAAACTTTTCCAAGAAACGATATAATGGAGCATCTAGTTTTGAAAGTTCAGTACTGAGTTTTGTCTAGCAATTATCAGAGCTTTATGCTTATATTAATCAGTTTTGAACAATATTTTTAATTAAATTAATTCGCAAAGAAATACAACGTTCTCTATCAGTTTTCACAATATAAATTATTACAATACTTGAGAACATTTGGGTTTTTCATTCAAAGTAAGTCATTCTTTTGATATATTTTGTTGGCGTATTTAATTTTTGATCGAAAAACTGAAGTAAGACTTGTAAAAATTAATTCTGCTAACTTATTTAGGTGACGAGATCCATAGATAATTTTAAAAACTTGCATTTCACGTCAAAATTTCTTCGACAAACTTTTATTTGGGTTTTTGAAAACGAAATTGTAATTTACTTTGAAAAATCAAAATATTTAATCAAATATTGTTGATTTTTTAAGAAGTAAAGTTCAATAATGGGTCAAAATAAACAAGTCAAGTATGTTGTTTTCTAATCTTAGCGCATACTTACGTGTAATTAATTAATAAATAACTGTCTAGATGTTTGCATGTAAGTAAACTAATTAAAAACTTCTCTTAATTCTAATAATTCATTACGTAATAATTTCGTATTTGCTTATGACTGAGTAAAAAAATTCTGTTTCAACCAGGCTTTCATGAATTCTTGATGGTGCTATTTTCGTGGTAGTAAGTAAACTGATTGTTATGACTTGACAATTGTCGGCTTTTTAGTCAATTTTTAGGTCTTCAAATAATCTTTGCAACCAAATCTACTTATGGTTATTCAATTATTTAGATTCTTTCATAAAATTTAGTTCAGTTTTAAAATTATTGTTCAAATATTAATTTGTAGATCATTTGCCAAAATAATATGATTATTTTTTCATAAAATGGTTCTATGCTTACTTTCTAATATCTTCAAAGTTCATTGTTTATAATTGATTGCTTCCATTCAGGTTAATTATAATTTATAGATTTATTTACTTATGAATTTCTTGATCTGATCATTGTCATTTGATCGATCGATTTATGTGAACATTAGTTTGTTGACAGATCATTTAAAAGTCGAATTCCATTTCGTTGATCTAGTTTGAGTTTACATAAGCTGTAGAGCAATTAAGTATAAATTTTTAAATTTTGAACACTTCTTGAGGAATGCATAATAATCATCAGTTATAAATATCATCACGAAAAAATGAATGCGTGATTTGAAACTTGCGTGGCTCATATCTCCAACACTTTCTTCTGAATCGCCTCGAAGAAATCGATGGCTCTTCGTCGGCAGGTCAGTTTACTTGACTTAAATTGAAATTTACCACAAGTTATTAATTAAATATATTTCAAATTAATGTACTTTTGTGTATAAAGTAACTGTAAACTACAGAGTTCATAATATTATAGACATTTATAACGACAACTAGTTTCATGTTATTAAATTTCCATTGTTAATTATAAATGCAAAAAATCAAACGTCATTTTAAGATTGACTCTTCTTTAATTGTCTTTCATTTTTTTGAACCAAAAAGTGTACAATAAGTCTGAAATATCCAGTTGCTTAAAGCAATTATAAAATAAAAGACTTAAATGCCAAAAAATTTTAACAATACAAAAATTGGAATAAGACATTTTGCTGTCCTAAAAAGTTGCGGTGGTTTTTTGGTTTTGGAGTTTTTTCATTTTTACATTAAATTGTTTGATATCTTTTGTTAAATACAATCTGCATAGTTTTGCATTATGGAATACTAATAATTACTCTTGTCACTTTATGGTTCATTGATAATTATCATTAAAAAGAGCACTTTCATACAACTAAGTTGGTTTTTAATTGCCATGTCTTATTAAATATTCTAGGACAATACTTTTAATTATTCATGCAAAGGTTCAAGAAACATTAAGAAACATCATAAGAGGTCAGAAGATCAGAAGATTAAGAAAGATCATAAAAGTTAAATGAAACACATTTTTGCTCATAAATTTGCTAAAGTAATTTTACATGTATTGTTATGTGGCATAAAATATTTGCATAGAGGATGGTAAATTTAAATATATCATTGAGAAATATATTTTTAGGGTAGTGGAAATTCAAACTTCAGCCATCAAGAAAGTGATTTTGAATTGTATGAAAGTAATCGAGAGACGTTACGACGAGATGCGGAGCGTTCCGCAGCCTTACAACTTGAGCGAGCTAAAGTACGCCTTTTGTAGTACCCTTTAACATTAGGTAGTAACGATATGTATTATTTTCTAGCTTTTTTGAAGATCATTTCAAGTTTATATTAATTTATTATGTGACTTAATTTTTGAATATTAATATTAAGTTTATAAAATTAACACAAATTTTTACTCCCCATTAAAAGTATTCTGTTAAATTTTTGCATAATGAAGAAATTAATAAATAATACTCGTTAAATTAACAAGTAAGCAGTTGTTAAAAAGAAATTTTCAAACGTTTCATAAAGTAGTGAAAAAGTGAAAACGAATGAAAGTTTGAAGTACGGACTTTTGATAAATAATTGAAATAATTAATTTGAAATACTGGCAAAAAAAGCCGTATCGTACATTCTGCAGTATAAGCCGGTAGCTTTTGCTGTTTGTACAAATGTGGAATTTGATGGAACTTTGGATGATGATTCGCCTGTGCATGGTTGTGCTGTATCTTTTAAGATTAAAGATTTCCTGCACATTAAAGAGGTATGAAATTCTGCTGAAATTTAATCCAAACTAGCCATCAACTTCAAGATTGAATAGATTAAGAATGTTTATTCAAACTATTGTTACTTGAAGTTACAACCATATCAATACCTTATCTGGCTTGATAAACTTATAATTACATTACCTTATTAATCTTGACAGTATTATGGGTTTTGTTAGAATTTTTGATGCAATATTAACGTATTGTTTTTAGCAAATATTTCAGTAGTACAAAACATGCAAACGATTCTTCAAACATAAATTAGTAATTGGTTGAACTTATTTTAGCTGAATTTTCAAACTAATTAGGCCATAGCATAAAAATCCATCTGACTAGATTATTGTTGTTATTACTGCCTGAAAACTGATCTCATTTTTCTTGGCTGGAATCTTTTCTATGTGTGAAGATTTGTTCGTTTTATCAAAACTTTAGGATTCTTCATTGTTTTTAGAAGTATAATAACGATTGGTGGATAGGACGCTTGGTGAAGGAAGGTCACGAACTTGGATTCATTCCATCTCCAGTTAAGCTTGAAAACAATCGACAGCAAAATACAAAAGGATCGAAATTGTTAGTCAAACATTCATATTTATTTTCATAATTCAATTTTTGTACTAATGTGTCATGATGTATTGGAGATATCGGATCTTGATAGTTTTGTTTAAGCTTCAGGTGCTTATTTCTATTGTTTTCATAATTAAAAGTTTTAATTTTTTGATCAAATTTTTTCACTGAACTAAGTTCAGTTGAGGCTTAATTTTTTGGATTTAACTTTAATTCTAGCAAGCAATCTGCAAGTAGCGCAAATTTGGGTACCCTAGATGAAATGATGCCAAGAAGTGCTTCCCGCGACTCAACACCTCCTACGCCAGGTGCCATAAATTTCGTTTAAAATTTAATTTCTGTAATATATAAGAATTTTTTGGAGAGATATATTTTATAGGTGGTGAATTGGATGAGGAAGATTATGTACATGGCAAAAAATTGACAGATATGGTTTCTACTCCATCTTACGCCAAAGAAAAAAAAAAGCTAATGTTTAAGAAAGTAAATTTTTCAGAATTTCATTTATTCTTTCTAATCATTCTCAAGTCCCAGTTTTTGGGACGTTTAAGTTGCAGGAAAATTTTTTTTTTTAAATTCTCAAAAGTATAAATTATTTTCAGCAAGAAAATATTCCTCCTTATGATGTTGTGCCTTCGATGCGACCTGTCGTCATTGTTGGCCCATCGTTGAAAGGATATGAAGTGACCGATATGATGCAAAAAGCTGTTTTTGACTATCTCAAGCATCGATTCGAAGGAAGGTTAGTTCAGAAATTCTCTAAAATTTAGAAAGTTAGATAATCGTTGCAACATTAAGTTCCACAATTTTTGCTTGAAAGTCTTGTGCATCCACAAATTTTGTAGGATAATTATCACAAGAGTTACTGCGGATATATCGTTAGCAAAACGGACATTGCTGAATAATCCATCAAAACGAGCAACGATGGAACGAGTTAATTCAAAGACAAGTAACAGTTTAGGTACAATTTTTGAACCAACTCTTGAATTTTCTACTTATTGTTTTTGTATCTTCTGAAATATTTTATTATTGTGGTAAGAATAACATTCGAGTATGTTTTTAAAATATTTTGCGTAAGAAAAACGTTTATTGATTCACTAAGTTCAAGCTAAGATAATGAAATAAGTTTTTTTTGAATGATAAAACATTTTTACTTGAAATTTTCAGCTGAAATTCAAGCAGAAATTGAAAGGATATTTGAATTAGCTCGATCTATGCAGTTAGTCGTATTAGATTGTGATACAATCAACCATCCATCGCAGCTCTCCAAAACATCCCTAGCACCTATTCATGTGTATATCAAAATTAGCTCACCTAAAGTTAGTCTTGACATGGGAATAAATCAAGTTAAGCTTTAAAGTTCAAATTACGGAAATTTAAACTCTAGTCACCAGTCAAAATCGTATGAATATTTTGTTGGAGAAAAAATATTATTATTGTAATTGACTTTATTTTGTCATTATAGATTTAATAATTCATTTTAGGTCCTTCAAAGGCTGATAAAATCAAGGAATAAATCACAAACACGAAATATGAATGTACAAATGGTAGCAGCCGAGAAGTTGGCTCAGTGTCCACCTGTAAGTTTCGATTTATTGACCATTATGATTTGCATAAAATGATACATATTTCTGTTGTTGCTTGAAAGTGAATAAAATGAATAAGATAAAATCTGCTACTTTTGAATTTTTAATATCAGATTGGTTCTAGGAGATGTTTGATGTTCTGCTTGATGAAAATCAACTGGAAGATGCATGTGAACATTTGGCTGATTATTTAGAATCATATTGGAGAGCAACGCATCCACCAGTGAAATCACCACCTAGAATCAAACGTAACCCTATGGAAAATCGTGGTCCACCAACGTTGTTTACGCCATCACAAATGATGCAGGGTTCAGTTTTCATTTAACTGGCATTACATATTCTCTTCTTTGAAATTAAAAAACAAATTCAACTTCTAATTTCTAAATGAATGATGAAAATCGTCTAAAATTTAATAAGTTTCTAGTGTAAACAAAAGAGAATGGTAGGTTTTTCGGTATTCAGAGCTAATAGCGTTGTAGGCATGGAGCATGGATCAGTGTTGCCATCATCAGTGGTTAATTCACCAAATATGAATATTCAGCCGATAATTCACCAGAGAAATAGCCCGCAGCATCAACGAGTACCTCCAATGTCTATCCCACCTGTAATTTATTTAGCTCGATTTCTGCAATCATTGTTGGCTAACTTGCTTCAGTGTTTTTCATATTCTGATTTGATTCGCGAATTTTGGAAGCACGATTTTAATAGTTTTAAAAATATTAATAAATAATTGCTTGTTATGATAAAGTCGCAAGTTTTGCAGATGCATATTTTTTATCGACGTTACTATAAAGTTCGGGTACCTATATAGACGTTCCAGTAATAGTTATAGAATCCAATTTAGTTATCGGTATAAAGTATAATTTTGTGAAATTTAAAGGTTTTAGTAAAGTTTGATTATAGGTACAGTATGACGGAGCGATGCAAAATTCCGGGTTCTATCAGAAACCATCGCAACCATCAGTACCAGTACATAATTTGTCTCAAAGACCCGTTTTGCAACGTGAAAATACTCATTATTATGACGACTATGATGAGGAAGATTTTCAACGTGACTTGAGAGGTGCAGGGGTTAGTAGTGGTGGTGCTGGTTACGAATTCCACAATAATTATTAATGTTATTAATTTTTTAAAGAATACGCTTTATAATGCTTACTGAAAAAAACTGCTGTAAAGGAAGAAAAACCGTAATGATCGGGAGTTGATTATCTACTTATTTTTAAGTTATTGATGAATATGCAATGTGCTGAACGAATACCGACTTCATTTCTTATCAACTCATTTTTGTAGGTTAGACGAATAGATAGATAGATAGATAGATGTGTAGATAGAAGTCCCTTAGGTTTAAAAATTTTTCTTGACGTTGCAATTTTCATATAACCTTCAATTTTTTTTCTCGTTGCTAAAATTTGTTGTTTGCGGATGATGGCGATATTGTTTTGTGCCTTTTTAATTGTTTTGCTGAGCAGAAAAAACTCAACCAATTTTCAAGCTCTTAATTTCAGTCAAAAATTTGCAAAATAAAAAAGCTTTTAGGGTTTTGAAAATATTACTGGAATGCTCGTTGACATGTTTCATATCTTTTGCAGTTTTTATAGTAAAATTTTATTTTCAGTATGTTTAAGCCATACATTTACATGATCTTTTACTTTTTAAATTTGAACTTTAAAATCGCAGATATTTTGATATTAAGGATCAGTAAGTCTTTGAATTAAGTTAGTTCAGATTTTACCTTCACTGACTTGTAATAATAGCAGTTTTTGGGTCTGTTAATGAATTGATGATTTGCGTAAAACACTCAACACTGATAATTAGTGGACGTTAAGTGATATTGTGTTTAGTTCAGTTTATTATTCGGGAAGCATTGCGAAAACATTTACGCAATCAAACGAGTATACAAATTATGCGATCTATAGTCAAAATTTTAGTATTATACTTATGTATGCAAAGAATATGCAGTATTTTCCAGTTTTTTGAGTTATCGGTAGATCTTCCTTGAGTGTTTTTGGCGAAGAGAAATATGTTTGGAAATCTACTAGTTCCTTAATTTAGCTTCTTTTCAAAGCTAGAAGGAGCGAAATTCGCATTACTAAAGTATTAGCTTTCTTTTTCAACGCTAAATCTTCGGATTATCAGTGTTGTAAACTACCTTTGAGAGCATCTGCTGCTTTCTAAAAGCATTCTCACAGCAGCTAATTGAATTCATTATATTTTATGGTTCTAGCATATACTTCTAGTTAAGCTAATAATTTTCTTCTTCATGCACTCGCAAAATACTACTGGAAAATACTCATCTTTTTCAAGTATTGCAGCTGAAGAAGTACATAAGTCAAAAACTAAGAGCATGTTTTGTATTACAGGAATCAGAATTAATAATTCGATTTCACTTGAAAAATTCTTCCAAACAACAGAACTTTTCGGGATCACTCCAAGAAATTGTTTTCATCACAAATATCTGATGAAGCAACTCATACATGCATGCTCAAAAAATGCAGCATTTGCACATAATTTACTTAATTGAATATAAAAACTACTAAAGTGGAGAGAAAATTGCACATTTTGCTCAATTATTTCGAGAAACATTGATTAAATAATTTGTATTCATGGCGTACAAGAGAACTTCGTCATTTGATTCAGAGTTCCTGCAACCAGAAGTACATAAATAGAATAAATATGCAAAAGTATATAAAAATGAATAGCAAAATATAATCATATACATACGTCAGAAGTTCCATCAGAGTTCGTTAAGTTAGAAGAATAAGGAATGCCAATCAGGCGATTGGCAATGTGACCAGCTTCACGTAAGCCGGACATGTAGGCACCGTGCAGCTGAATGATAAGTATTGATGCAATTTAATAATCGTATGAAATTCTGCTTGCAAAAATCAAACAAAATCGAATAAGCAAGTAAGACTTAGCAAATAAGGTCTTTTGCAAGTTTTAGTAATCAATTTGTCACTAATATCAATTATCCAAGAACTTATAAGCAATAAGTTGAGTAAATAAGCAATCAAAAGCATGCATGGTAGAACTCACGGATGCCGGTTGTTCTCGACAAGTATGTTCTCCAGCAAAAAAAATTCGGTCAAAACCAGATGAATCTTTGACTGGCGCTGACAGGGTATCATACAACACAGCTTTAAGAAACATGCATGACATTAATGAAGTAACTTATACAAGAATCCGTAAAATGAGAATTTCCGAAATTCATTCGTGTAATGTTAACAAAAATTGTCATTATTTATAAAAGTAAAGAATTCTTTATGATTGCAATCTTTTATTTGTATGTCAACGTAAACTTACGAGAGCAACCTGGAGGAATGTAGCTATACGAACCCTGTGAAAAACAATCTGAGCGCCAGCGTGTTATTATTATATCTTTCGGCTACAAAAAATAATAATTAAGTACAAATAATAATAATTAATTGTACTTTTTAGCTCTATTTAAAAAAATAATTCAAACCGAAAATGCTTCATTTCTGCACCCAAATTTCATTTAAAAAAGGATCAACTGATATCGATATCTTCCAATCTTACAATTATAACTACAATTATTTTACCATGAATTGATATCTTTATACATTTCTGTCTGCAGTTGGACAAGATTTTTTTGGAATTTATCAAAAATTTCATTTACTTTATTAAAATATGTACCTGTGCTGGGCATTCTTCACCGAAGACAGCCTTAAGAAAAGCCATTATTTTGGAAATATACTTTTGAGCAGGAGTATTCTCTACGAATTCAGCTGCCATGCCCGAGACAAGAACTGTTAATACTGGCACGTTTTCATGTGCTTGGAACATAAAGTATTCACCTCGAAAACCAGTGTCAATTCTGTACATATGAAATTGGCAAATTTATATAAATAAAGGCAAAAATTAAAAATATAGCTGGCTACTAAGTATGAAATGATAAAAAGTTAATATCTTAAAAAATAAATAAAAATTACTAATTCAACAATTAATGAATCGTAGTAGCTCAATATAATTTTAAAACAAATAATAAAGCTAACAGTGGATTTACTGCGTGCCCAAAAGCGTGCGTACTTCCCCAAAATGCTTTTTCGAAAACCAAAATGACCTGTGGCATTCAAAAAAGTAGTGACTTGAGATACAAATATTCGATAATATATTAAAAATAAGTACAAGTAAACACAGTGAGGTGTAATAAACTGAAGCAAATATGAATTAGATGTAAATTTTTCCTACTTTATTAACATTGCCAAAGCCAACTGCATCGATAGCATCAACTTTGCTCACTGGTAACGGAGGAATGAACAATGGTGCTCTACTTTTGTTCTTAACTGATCTTTTGAGTACACCAAGAGGTAAGGTAGACAATACACATTCAGCAACAAAAACTGCTTTCTGCTGACCTTTGACCGAGCAAGTTACTGATACTTCTGAAATATGTAATTTTAAGCAAAAAAGCAAATCAACTCGTATCTTACCATACCTTTAGTAGATTACAGATTGAAAAAATAGAAATATGATACTCTGTGTACACATATATTACATATATAAGTTTTAAGTCAGATCCAAAAAACAAGACTGACTGTTATCATCGTAACGAATCTCTTCTACCACATGTTCCAAACAAATATCCAAGCCAGCGCTCAAGCTGTCGATCAGTTTGTTCAAACCATTCACTACTGAAATCAATCTTTACACTTAAATTTGTAAAGTACCTTTATATACTGATATTATACTACATTATAGCAAGTAATAATATCAAAAAAATGAATTGAATTCCAGCCATCATTTATGAATGGAGCACGCACCTCTGGAAAATATATTCATTTCGAATGATTGCAAGGGGAATTTTCGAGATTAAAGTTCAAAAGTATATCACGCGAATTTTATATTAATTTTAATTATAAAGCACAGTGACAAGCTGACTTTACAAATTTACATTTTAATTTAACCTTTACCCTTGTTACTTGCATGCTTTTAATTCGTGCGACTCAAAATTCTAAAACGAAAAATTCCTTTTCTGACGCAACTTCAAATACAATCTCTACGTTTTTGGCTTGATTCAAACTGAAGAGGGAGTAGCAGAAGAGTGGATACCAAGGTTAAGGGTCGAGTGGTACTTGGCAATTTTTATTCAATACTAATTCTTTTCAAGTAGAGCAAAAGAATGATGAGAAAAAGTAGCAGAAGTAGAAAACAGGTGGCAAATACCCACCTTAGTGTGCAGCAGCTATAGAAATACCTGCTAACCAGATTTGATAGAGTGCTTTAATAGCTTCAGAATAATACATTAAAACTAGATCTTAGTCCAGTTTGTACCTTCTCCAGCATAGACTACATTTGTAGCTAAGCCTTTGTTTGAATCTATTAATCTGCAGATAAAAAAACTGAAGTACATTCATAAGAAACTATCAGATGGTTAATTATCTCATTAAGAACCATCAATAAGCTAAGAAATTGAGTACAATGATAGAGCAGAAGAGGAACTGGAGTTGCTGCTGAGTGAGCATGAAAACTGCTACTCATTCATATGATTTAAAATTCATTGCAAATTTGAAATAAACATCATTAGCAAGTAATTAAAAAAAGAGATGTATATGTAAAGGAAGATTAATCTCCAATGTCAATCACAGTATATGAGCCACTTTAGGCCATCACCCATCCACCTGAATCCTCAAGAACTCTTTAATGGTACTTCATGAGCAAATCGTTTGGAAAGTAAATTTGATATCCCTTATTTGTCAAATAATATGCTGCTGCTTTGCTTTAACTTTAATCAGAAACCAAAGCTCACTTATAAACATTTTAATGTTATATAAAATAGGGGAATGTTCTATAAATAAGCATGAAAAACTTAATCCCTTTTAATTTACTTGATAAAGTATACAATTTGAATTTGAAAAAGTTCATCAGAAGCAAAAAAGGAAAATCAAAATTTCGTATCATCAAAATAAAATATAAATAATATTTAAATACAAAAAGGGAGAAGAAAAGATCGTTAATTATTTCTGTAATTAATTTCTTTTCAGAAGTATTCAATCATGAATAACACAAACCCCTCGTTTAACCCCCCACAGAAATATGTTCCAGTAGCCCACTATAGCAGCAGCTTATTATGCAAATTACCCCTTTAGGTGCTGCACACAGGGATAAGCTCAAGGAGTTCATTACACAATTCATATCCTTGCTCACATATTTATGGGTGATTGAAGGAAACGTATACCTTTGTTAACCCTTTCATTACTTCCATCCAATTTTCATTCTTCTACTTGAGCTTATTAAAGGTAATTACTAATTTTTGCCTGCAATTTACACATATGCTAACTTTGTAAATCTCTCGTTGTCACACAAAGTCTCATTCCCATATCTATCATGCAAATATCATTTTATTATTGCATGCAATGCTGCTATGACAATTACAAGCATTATATTTGATAATGCATAATAACAAATTAAGATTGATAAACTAAACAAGTAATCCACATTCTGTACTGCTAATTATATCAAATACTGTGATAATTCTTGATCAGATATGAAATTATAAAAAATGCATAAAAATTATGATTTCTTTTTCACAAAAATCGGTGATTTTTATTTGCGAGTAAAGTAAGTAATTAAAGAAGCATTCCAAGTTATGACCTTTCCTTTTCTGCATTTGTATAGGAATGTTTATTTGAAGAAAAGCATTTTTCTTCCATATGTAAACACATATGGCGTGCACATAAGCTATCACAAATTCTACATGAATAAGCTACCGATACTTTAAGAGTAAAATACATGCAAGTCAGCAGAAGCAGAATCAGTAGCCGTACAGAAGAAAGAATAAGAAATTTGAAACATCTAGTGCATTGCAAGCTTCTTGGTGAAACATTCAGTCTTCATGCTAAATAATCTCTCTTAATTACTGCTCACATTTTTAGCCAAATGACTTATTGAATCAAAAAACTTTTTGTTATCAAGCACTTCAAAAGAAGAAATTTCAGTCAGATTATTTAATTACTCTGAAAAATTAGTAACTTTATTGGCAACAGAATCTATTTTTAATACTACATCGATTACTTTAGAGAGCAAGTATAGAAAAGGTAATCCTAGAGAATACCATTATTACATGTCGCTTACACTTGCAATTTAGTAAGTAAAATCACTAATTTATTTGGCTAAAAATAACGGAAAGTTATACCATCACTCTTTTTTTTCAAAACTTTGATTCATTAACAAGCAAGATTGATCAGATAACACTACAATGATCGTTGATTAACTCTGCTATCACTTATCACATTTTATCTTTTAAAAATAGATCTTTCAAAAATTAAGCAACGAAAGCATCATAAAATGTAACCTTGAAAATTTGCATAAATGAAAAAAGGTAATTGTAACAGTAAAATGTCATTCATTTAATAGCAGAATACTGTCATTTTTAGCCAGGACAATAAACAATAAAATGTTATAGTGTGGATAATTTCCGGAACAGTAAATGTCATTTCTGGCCAGTAAGCGTAATCAATCATTTTTAAAATTCAAATAATTATATTCGCGTTTAAATACATTATATCTATCACATTCAATATCCTTTAAAAAGCTTAATTTGCATAAATTAGACAAGTGAATTTGTATGAGCGTAAAGATATGTACATAGATAAATGAATAGTCGTCGGTCGATATTTTGATTCCAACTACATAAAATAACGTTTATAATATACAACAAAAATATGAACTAATATAATTTATACTTAATCAATACAAGTCAACAGTAAATTTTTCCTACGTTGAGTAAGTGCTTCATCAAGGAAAGAAATACTTCATGGAATTAAAAACTGCCATGATTTTAATTTACGAGGCCAAAGTTCATTTAAAATGATTATATCAGCTAACTTGAAGTAGCTGGAAATGAAAAAGACGTGAATCCTTCTAGAAGACCTGAAACCTTTTGGAGAATTGATTCAGTGAGAGGCATGATAATTTCTCATTTTTTCCTATCACAGCACCGAATGTAATCTAATTTGTACAGAAAATTTAAACGTTTAGTTCAAGTCTTGCTATTAATATCCAAATCCCTTAGCAATGTATCTTTTTCTTGCATTATTTAGAAAAATAAGATTACTTTGTCACCTTAAAATTTTTACTTTAAAATCGACCTCATTAATTATGCAAATGAATGGGAATGATAATTATGAATATTTGCCAAATTAATAATTTTGTTTACTTGAAAAAGTTTAAACTTTTGACAGAAATAAGGAAGTTTTTCTTCGTTGGAAAGAAAAATCAAAATAAAGATAGAATAGATATAATCAATCCGTTGATGTGATTTTTACTTGAAAAGATACCGCGTAAAGATGGATAATCACTTGAAAGAAAATGCAAAGGTAAGCAGAACAGAAACCATCAGTTTGGCCCATTTAACTGGCACCAACGGAACGATGGCCTTCCTGAAAACTTCCATCACAAAAGCAATTCATGCATAAGTGTTGTTTCTTTACGACACACTCATACTTACTTTCAACCAGCATTACTCTCCAGGTTAATCACAATAAAATTAATCCGTAGCACATGCTTGACAATTACGCTTAAATTCACGTAACACATGTCAAACGTTTACAAACTTATCTCATACAATAACTGTTGCACAGACAAAAGCAGCAAGGGGGAAATATATTTGTGCAATTTTTGATAAAATGTATTCCATATTTTCATTTTCGATCTCGCACTATAATCGGATATATCAACATGTACCCTTTTTTATACTACACATTTATAAAAAATAACTGTCATAGAAAATATGACAAAAGTGTTCAAAGTAAATACAATAGCAGAAACTAACTAGAATAACATACTTTTTGATAGAATCTGAAGCTATTTCCTCTAACGAAGTGCACTGTGATAAAATAAATATATGCATGATTAGAAGAGTTTTTTTTTTACTATTCCTTTCATTATTACTATTATTCATAGAATTACTGTAAATGCAAAAATTAATAGAACTATACGTTTCAAAGATTCTGTCATTGGTCATGTTTATGTTGTGGTCATTTATGAAAGCAACAGCTTAATGAAATACATTCAGCTCGAACTCTTTGTCAAACATTTTAGCATTTTATCTTTAAGAATTCAAGCAATATCGATAGCTTCCACATTTGGGCACAATTTGAAGCAGTAATCAAAGCAATAAATATCTTTGAACAGTTTAGCAATTTCATCTTAATATTCATTTCTCATCACCGCCAATAAAATTCTTCACGTACCCAGTGAATCTGATTTTGTGTCGATGGCACATTATCAGACAACAGTATGAACAATTCAAAGTTAAAAAAAGTGGAGAACCTGCTATTAGGAGGATTTTTACTTCATTATAATTATTCCAATCTCACATACAATACAAAATTAATGTTGCTTGCTTACTGCCTCGTCACCTGCTGCAATTATTAATTACTTTAATTGGAGAATAAAGCTGCCATTGTTTTTGTTTTTACGCCTTATTTTCGTTACAAAAATAATTTTGAAGTGATTACTGCTGTTTTGCCAAAATTTATTCACTGGAAATAAAAATAAACGACTTCATTACTTCAACAGATTGCAAACTTGCTTGGGAAAGTACTGAAATCTCTTGGGAAAAAATATTACAATAAACTTTAATACATCAATTCATTGCCTCATTTGCATAGTGTCTATTATTAGTACAATTACCTTCTTTAATTTATTACCTATATTAAATCTAACTGCTGAATAAGTATGATTGTTCTGTCAACTTTGTCACTTTTCACTCAATCAAACAGCAAGACCTAGCTCTTACCGGTGGATTGTTGCAGATTTAAAAGTAAATTAAGACAACCTCAAATAATCAACTCTAACTGACCAGTGCCAATAATTTAATTTGGAAATAAGACAGTGATGCTTCAGATTAAAATATTTTTAGATGGATAAGATTGCATGCAATCAACATGATGACTTTTGGTCAATAAATCCATGAAAATAGCCCGAAAACAAGTTTAACTTTTGTAAGTTATTAAAATTTTTAAATCTACTTATACTTACTCTCTCTAGATCTATTCATATCCCTGCGCGAAATAATATCTTAAATAACAGCACTCTCAAAACTGTTTTTAATTTCAAAAATTTCTCTTCAATGGCCAACTAAATATTTGCGACCATTCACTGAGCCATCCTGTTTACTTACTTTAGATACGATACTCACTGCTTACTAATTTTTCCAGGAAACACCAATCCATTATTGCTTTTAGTACTCAATTAACAATTTGACTGCTAGAGTAATTAATCTGATCCACACAGAGTTGAT